ATAAGATACTTTTCCAATTACGGACTATGTGTGCTATGTAGTTTAAAAGTCATGATCCCACTAAGTTTTGAGTTGTGGATCGATCCGACCCTCAAAGTTGTTATCTCTAAAAAAAAGGAGATACGTGTTAATTTAAAATAAGAGTGGGAACAGTTATATAGTAATCGCTCCAACGTGCATAATCCCTTATTTTAAATAAAATCTTTACGCTCTTCAGAAGAATATGAGACAGAAAGAAAAGAAACAAGAACAGAGAACAATATCATTCTTAGATTGAAGACATTTAAAAGGGTATTTAGTTTGTGAATCAAACTTTGTTTCCTAGTGATTCAAAGAGGGACTTGAGTGCAATCCTATTAAAGTAGCAAAATCAACGACTTCCGCTTCAAATTAAGGTACACAACTTGTCGATTTTGCTCTATATCTCTTACAATCCCAAATTACGTATCAAAATACACTACATTTAAAATGATCTTTTATCGATAATTAATTAATGACAGTAATTTAACTGTCGACAATTAACACTCTTTGTAATGTCCCTAAAGCCTATAGTAATATTGAATCTAACTATAACGATTGACTAATGCATATAATAACTTTAATTTTCTTTGTTAATATACCGTTAAAAAATATTTTATCATAATATATTGATTTAAAATCATAATTTTAAATCACACGGCGAAACACCTGTTTATTGACAAAACTTCTCTCAACATTTAGTAAAAAGTGAGTGAGAAAAAGACTTGGAAAATTGGTGAATGAAATGTTGACTTACTTTAACAAAAGTTATATGATGCATATATGCAAACGTAAATGAATGAGATATTTCCTACGTCAAGTCTTCCCTTATCATTCACTTATTTTTTTCTTTTCAAAAAGAGAAATATAAAACAATTTCTTTTTTCTGGGTCTAAGTAAAAATCCTGTCGGATGACGTAAAAAAGTAATAGAATTCCTTGACCACGAGATTACAGAAAAATTGAAAAAACACCTAGTAGAATCCACACCTGATCTAGAAACTTTCATATTAGGAAAATGTTAATATTTTACTACTTTTGTATTTTTATTTTTATTTTAAAACGAAAAAATTTTAATAAGAAGATTTATTCATACAAAAAGTAACTGATCTAGACGATAAAGTTTCAATTGCATCTATTTTAAGAACTTTTGATACAAACCAAAAAAATGCTTCAAAAACAGAGAATTTGTTTATGGACATATTTGGATTGTTGTGTCAAATGTCAATTATACACACTTCCCTTCTTCTCAAATCCCAATAAAATGCTCTTTCATAGTCTTCATGCTCTTATTCTTATTCTTCGTGAAGACATAACTAATCCATCATAATTCGTTGATTTCACTATTACAAAATAAATTCAGACAACATTAAATATACATATTAATAAAAATATTAAAGTTATTATCGATTTTAGTTAATTGTTATTGAACAGGTTTTAGGAGCATTTAAAAAGAGTATTAATTACCGCTAAAAATATCGAGAATTAAACTATTATTGTTAAAGATCATTTTTAATATTGTATTTTCAGTTTTATTTTCATGAATTTAACTATTATCACAAACTATCGATTTTTCTGACAAATAAAATGAGAGGAAGTGTATTTTTGTTCTTGCAATTACTTTATAGATGTGTAAGTTATGTTTGCATAGCATTAATACGTAAAATTTCAAACTCAATTATTTGATGAAATAGAATGACTTATTGACTAACAACTCTAGTAATACGAGAAGACAGGCCTGTGGGCGTGTAACGAAAATCAAAATCTTATAATTAAACCATGGAAAGTATTTAAAATCCAATAATAATACTCCCACCGTTCATTTTATTTTTACTTTGTCATTATTTGATTTGACACATCTATTAAGAAAATAATTATTAATATACGTATTTTATCAAAATATTTTGTATTAGGTCTTAAAAATGATTTGAAAAATAAATATTTAATATTGAAGATAAAATATGAAAAAAAATTATTTTTTTAATATATTAAAAGTGATAAATAAAAATAAAAATTTATTTTAGGTAGGTGCCTATTAGGAATGTTTTTCCGATTCACATTCTTATGCTAACTGCCAAAAATGGGGCTGCGTGTATACTACTTTTACGAGAAAGAAAATAATGTCTAAATATGAAGTAGTAACACATTGATGCCTTATCATGACTAGTTGGACATAAAAAAAATTCTTCCATAAAAGAGTTAAAAATGTCTATGAATTATGTGAAATTGAATAAAAATATCTTCCGTTAATATTTTCTCTAAATATGTTTGTGCCGTCAATAGTTTGACATCATGGCTAAATATAAAGTATTAATCATTGATGCCGCGTTGGACATGATTTTTTTTTCTTGGAATTTTTTTTTAAAATGTTCTTGAATTATCTAAAAATGCTCATGCCCTCAATAATTTGGTTAAAAATTATCCTCATTATTATTTAATGGGTCAAAATTATTATTTTTTTCAAAATATATAAAATACGTTTTAAAAAAAGAAATAATATGTTGATCAGAAAAAGATATTTTTGGCCCACCCATTATGATATTTTTAGAACAAATTATTGATAGTAAAGACATTTTAAAGCAGATTATTGACTTAGAGAATTTTTATTCAATTTTATATAGTACAAAGACAATTTTGTTTTATCCTTTTTTGTTTTTGTTTCTTCACCTTTAAATAAACAAAAATCTTTTTGATTTCATATTGTGTCAACTTTTCACTCCAAACTCCAAAAACAAAAAGAAATAAAAAAATAGTAATAATCAGTTTTTCAAATTAAAAATGGGGATAGTACGTGGAGAGGAGAGGGGAGGGTTATGGTCGGTTAGTAAGAAAGTTTTATACCATACTCAATTCTTTGGTTAATCTATAATGTATAACTAAAAATGTACCACCGTCAATAGTTTATTTAATTAAAAAATGACTCCATTATTACTTAATGAGTAATTATTTTTTTCAAAATAAATAAAATGCATTTAAAAAGAAAAATTATATATTTATTTAAAAAATATTTTTAACCCATTAAATAATAATAAGTGCATTTTTGGACAATTATTGATAACATGGGAATTATTTTACCCAATAATTATTTAGAAACTTTTTGTTCAGTTTTGCCATAGTTCAAATACACTTTTGATTCTTTTTCATTTTCACTTTTTTTTTTAATAAAAAAATATGTTTGATTTTATATTACGTCATTTTTCACTCCAAACTAATATATATATATATATATATAAGGGTTATAAGAAGATTTAATGAGGAGAGCCTTTGATACGTGTAAAATTTTGTATTTAATTAGGGATGTGAATGGTCTCATCAGTTATTTAGAAAGGTTTATACCATACTCATTTTTGGTTAATCTACTATATATAACCAAAATCAAACTATTTGAAATCATCTCAATCAATTTTATTTTTTTTAATTTCGGTATGATTCTATTTAATTTTTGATATTTTTAAAAGGTCACCTAAGTAAAAATTAAGACTTAAAAAGCGTTGTACGAAATACTCAAAAAATGCAACATTATCGATGACCCTCGCAAATGCAACAACATAACTTATTAATGATGTGGAATAACTTATATCCATTGCTTCAAAATAATATTCTCATCCTAAAGTTTTTTGATGAGGCGTGAGTCAAACATTGGTACTATAATATAAGTCCATCTAGCTTCGTAGACGCAGCATAGATACAACAAAGACACATATCAAATAAGATTTTTTCAAAGATTTAATTGTTGCACACAAGATTTTGAGATTGTCGACAATTATTAGAGACTTTTTTTAGGGCATAATTTTTGGATCGATACTCGAAGTTACTAAGTTTCAACTATCTAAGTGTTTATTATTTATTCCTTGCAAGTTATTTTATTATATGACCAATTCAATATATATATATATAAATTTAATTATACCATTTTAGGAGTAAACACTGCACTTTTGTAATTTCATCAAAGGTTTCTAATAATTGACAAAGAAACTTAATCTGCCAGATTATGATGCTATGTGTCGTTGGCTTTGTAGTACTTACAAATTAATCTCAGTCACTAATTTCCACTAAAAAAAAGGAAAATCATAGGAAGAAGGTCATAAATATCGGCTTAAATAGTGATATTCCTGGTGCACAATGAAAGAGGGCCCACAAATTGACAGCTCCACTATTTGATTTTTGTTGTACGTTGCTACGCAAACATTAACTTATATGAAAAACTTTATTACGTGTCTCACATAATTATTAATATTAGTTGCGTGACAATTTTTTTTTTATTCTCACAAAAAAAAAAGTAGTCTCATGAACTATAAACTTCGAGTTTATTTTTCTTTTGAGACAACAAAAGGCCTCACATAATTATAAAAGACCCATAATAAAAATTTAGTCAAAATAATGACTTAAAAGATATAGCACGTAATCATTTAATTTAAGGGTGTGTTTGGCGGGAAGAAAAATATTTTCATACACAACATGTTTGGCTGGTCCATTGATAGATTTTTGTTGTACGATTTCAAGTGGTCCACAAATACTATTAACATAGGTACAAAACATAAAACAATTGAATAAAATATATAAATAAATATTTCATCTGTTTCAATTTATGTGACACATACAGTTAAATTTTGAAGAGTTAATTATATTTTATTTTAATCAAACTTTTTTATATGACTTAAAATATTTTAAGTTGTATTTTTATGTTTGAATTCACATATAAAAATACACCGTTTATGTTTTTTGTTTTTTTCCCGTAGTGTGTGGTACAATATTGCGTGTAATTTCACTCTCACCGCAAGATTGGTCTATTCTATACATAAATGCTTAACGAGTAGAAAGGTGCTTTTGCATTATACGTAGCGAAAATAAAAATATTTGACGAAAGATAATGGAATTTTCTTTACAAGGCCCCATTTTTCAACGTATTTCACGTTATGCTCCCTCTATATAAATAGACTCAAAACTTAAGAATTTTGTGATATATTCATTCAGGTTTCTCTACTTATATATATTAGTTATAAATAACTCTTTCAAAGAATATTGTTGAGATTTATCGGAATTAATTAAGCGATGGTGAGAACACCTTGCCGTGACGAAAATGGTCGTAAAAAGGGTACTTGGACTCCTGAAGAAGACAGAAAATTAGCTGATTATATTACTAAATATGGATCATGGAATTGGCGACAACTTCCCAAGTATGCTGGTAAGAATTTATGTTGAACTCGAAACCATTAAGTTCAATATCTATTTAAATATGTAATTAATTAATTATCATACTATTGTAGTCTGTAGAGTTGTTCTAATTGACGGATATATATTATTGTCTTGGTAAATTAGGCTTAGCAAGGTGTGGGAAGAGCTGCAGACTTAGATGGATGAATTACTTAAGACCAAATGTTAAAAGAGGAAACTATACCAAAGAAGAAGATGAAATCATCTTGAACCTCCATGCTCAACTTGGAAATAAGTACGTTTTCAATTTGATGAATTCAACTTTTAAAATTTTCAGCATTGAATTCATTGTAGTAATGAGAACTAATAATTGTTAACATCTATGATATCAGGTGGTCAGCGATTGCAGTTCACTTGCCAGGAAGATCAGACAATGAGATAAAGAATCATTGGCACACATCACTGAAGAAGCGAGCTAATTATAACTTGAGTGAAGGAAGCAAGAAGTGTAATAATAAGAAGAGTGAAAGTAATATTACTAAAAGAAAGAGTAATGTGGAAAATCAAAATGCAAGTGCTAATAATAATAATATGCATGAAAATATAGTATTGGAAAGTTCAGAATGGTCACCAAAGGAGTCATCAAGTGAAGAGTTATCCTCTATTGATTATCAACAAGACATTTTTCAAGAAGAATTTGGTAATTTGGAGGAAATTACAAGTGGAAGTTTTTGGACAGAACCATTTGAAGTGGATAGTAAAATTGATTTTGTAGCTCCTTCAATTGATTATTATTGTGAACTTGTATGTCCACCTTCTCCTTTTATGCCTCATGAATTCTTTCACTTTGATGATTGTAATAATTATTGGTAAAAAAATAACATTCAAAAGAAGTACCTAATGATTCATCCCAATACATTCGACTTCATCGATGAATTACATTAGATATATTATTTATATCGTTGAAGATGAGTGTACTCATGTGAATCTATACTTGTACTTTACAACATTTTATATGAAATCAAGAGTAAATACTACATAGCACTTTTGGTATCTCATTCTATTGATAAATTCTTATTTAAATTTTGCAATATCTTGAATTATTACTTTTTTAAAATTCTCTAGGTTGAGGGGTGTCTAGGTTAGTTTTTTATTACCAATAAAAAAAAAGTGAACCTTAAGTAGAAGAGTGCAAGATGTTAGGTATTATCTTATTAATCTTTGTCTGAATAAATATATTTACCTTTCATTAATTTTAAATGTGTACTTTTGATTCCTCTACATGTAAATTTCACAAATTTACAAGAATAATTTATTTTCAGAATAAGCGTAAGATTATGATGTTTTTTTTTCAATGTTTTATCTTACATATTTTAAAATAAGTTAGAAAGTAAACACATACTAACATTTTGAATTATTATTTAAAAAAATTACACTTTTATTATAATTTAACTGGAAATAACAGGTTCGTTAAAAGACCTGTTATGAAATTTACATTTACCTATTATTATATGTCAAATACATTTTATAATGCAAGACTATAGCCACTGCCCATAAATGATCAATTGATTTTTTATCTCGTAAATAGAAATGATATAATTAGCTCACATAAATAATGAATTATTTCATGTTTGTTTAAAATACACGTAAAAGACTCACAAGTGTAGATTAAAAAACATTCAAGTTGTACTTATGAATCAGACTATTAAAATTGAAAAGGAGACAATATATTGTCTCCACCTCTATTCGTACACTCGTTAAAGTCATAGTTTTTTTGTTTGCTAAGTTATAATTGTCATAATAAAGACAAAATAATTTTATAAGTTACTTGAAATTATAAAAGTACAAATCAATAAACAATTAAATAAATTGAATTATGATTCATATCAGCCCATTTTAATACAACTTATTTTAACCGAAATAATTTTTAAAATGTTATTTACTCCTCTCATCTATTAATTGAACTTATTTTAATCCGTTCAAATTTAAACTAATCCGTTCATTTGATACTTCTGAACTATTTTTAGCACCGGCCACGGAATGTTCTAAGAAAACGTTACACGATGGGAAAATGTGAACATTTTATTGTTATTCTCATTTCTATTTTCATTCAACATAGAAAAAGACAGTTTCCAATTTATTGTGTTTGCCATTGACTCAACAATGTGACAGCATATTATTACTACTCTACAAATCTTATCTGACATTTATGGCTATTACCAAGTATATTCCTAGTCCAATGATATTGGTACATTCCTTCTAATATTATCATTTACGATATAAAATAAATAAATATTTTATTATATTTTATTTTCGAATGTTACATACTTTTTTTCTTTTCAATTTATAACATTAAGTTTGATTGGACATATTAGAATTTAATCAAGAAATATGGTAAGACTTTGTAATATATTCAATATATCCTTAAAATAAATAATTTTTTTAATTAGAAAAGTATATTGTTATGATTTTTTTGTCAAATAAGTGGGACTTAACATAGATTAAATATTGATAATATCAATAAGTATATCTCTTGTTTTGTCAATAATTAGTAGGAAGGGTATTTTTGACTCAAAAATGTATCGAAATGTAAATTTGATCTATTTTGAATACTTTAGAATGTTTTTTACCATTTTCTCATAACAAATTTATTGATCTTTTTTAAATTAACTAAATTTATCGTATAAATTGAGATAAAAAAAAAGTATATAAATAATGATTTTCTCAAAATCTTTAGTTTAAAACTTAAAAAGTATTTAGTATGAGTTAAAAAATCAATTGAACTATTTTGTTCCAAGTTCCAACAACAAATTTGAAGTTACACTCCTAAATTCAAGATCAAAATCGAACTCTAAAATCCAGTGCAGTTGGTATTTTGAAAAACCTAATCAATTTTTCGATTCAAAATCGTTGGTTGAAACAATCTAGTAGTTACAGAAAATCGATCCAACCAATCGAGCTAGATTGATTTTTAAATCGATAGTTTTTTTTCTAGTATTGTTTTTTTAAAAACCCAACTCTAGAAAATACATTGAAAAATCAATTAAAACTAATTACAATTCACGGGTAATTCGAGCACCGCCTGTTCTCAATCCATTACCCAAAAAAACATTAAACAACTATATTTGTGTAAAGTCGTCAATATGGATCGGCCTAGTTCATTAGGGTTAAATTTATGTGGGCTTTGAAATTTGACGAATCAAGTTGGACTAACCAATATTTTGGTGGTCTGAAAAAATCAAGTCCAAATCACCATCCACTATATGGATTGCAAGTCGCGTTGGGCCAACTCACTTTGTTAAAAATAAATATATATATATATTATTATTATTTTCTTAAATTTAAATTATAATTATAAAGTTAACATAAATATATAAAAGACAATAGTATATACTATATATTGTTATTACACAAGTATCTTGGGTGCAACCGCACAATAAATTGATATTTTTGGATCATACAAAAATGAGTAACTTATAAATATGACTATATTTATAGGGTTATTGAAGTTCAATAGCTATAAGTATGTTATTTATAAAAAATTACTACAATTTATGTCTTTTTCTAGCTGTAGTTTTGTATATGATTTTATTTTTTTATTTATACACTGATACAGTTTTAATTACAATGTACTAAAGAAGGAAAATGTGTTAATTGTTTAGTTAGCATATAAATATTTTGGATTCAAATTGGTATATTTATTTATAAAACTTAAAGTATTAATATATCAAGAATACAAGTATTTATAAAAACTTAGTGTATTAATATAATAAACAAGGTAAAGTATAACAATTTAGTATATGAACACGACAATTTGAAAATGGATACATTATTGTTAAACAAAAATAAGTGGATCCTGTTGTCTTCCAACCGATTAGAGCGGCTTCTAATGAAGCTTTCATGAGAATCCCGAATTAGCATGCCGATTTCAGCTATTCCGGAAGCAAGATCTCAGGAAGCATCAATGTTGCATTCAAAGATGTTCTTACCAGGAGGAAACCATTTTATTACGGAATCAGTATAAAATAAATAGTATTTCACAAAATCAAGAAAGCCTTAATGACATTCTTTTATTTATATATAATGAAAGTTTTACCTGATAAAAAACTATTAAAAATCTATATATTTTTGAAGAAACTATCAAAAACACTATTTATTTTGAAACGAAGGGAGTATTACTTCGTCCATTCAATTTATATGATGAATTTTCTAGTAAGTAAAAAAATGAAAAATTTAATTGTGTAGGCTTTCAAATTTATTTTATACATAAGAGAGATTTCAAAAGATTATTTTCTTCAAGTTAACTTGTAGGTATTCATACGAGATCATTTCCACTAAAATAGAATGAAAATTATATTGTATACAAATGAATAAATTTTATAGAAATTTACTAACCAAAAAGTGAGTAATGAACAAAAAAAGTTAACAAAAAATGACAAAATACTAATAAAAAACAGAGTAAAAGGCCAAAGAAATTGAAAAAAATAAATAGTATTGTTGTTGTTCTTTTAATCATTTAATTAGAAAATAAGAGAATAATAGAGAAAAATTTTAAAAAATAAAAAAGTATAATTGATAAATTGAAGAGAGATAAAAGAAAATAAAATAAATGATAATAATGAATTTCGAAGTAATAAAATATTGTAATTGACATATTTATTACATTAGATTTATTTAAAAAATTAAATAAAATTTGACGAATGATTTCCTCCAACACTTGAAGATCATCTTTTGTTGTTTTTGATAAGCAAAGGATAAGATTTTGTAATAGCATCTTCTCTTTTGAAGGATACACATATTGTATTTGGAGAAATGACTATTTAAACTTCTACTTTATCAAATTAATTTGACTATCTCTTTTGATAATCTTCGCCAACGTCATTAAATTTCATTCTTTATATCTTGATGAATTTGAATCAAGTTAATCTGACTTCTCTTTGGTAAATTTTACACTGCTATCAAACATTTTTTTGGGCTATTATAACATAAAAAAATAAAATCCGAAGAATATTTCTGTGATCTTTGTCAAAGTGATCATGAATTGTCAGATCATTTTTTCTCTGTCATCTCTATTGATGAATCAAATGAAGGGAAAAAATTAAAAAGGAAGAGATATATTGATTCAGCCACTAATATTTTGTACTAGTAGACAGAGAAATCTTGCAGATTATGATGCCATGTGTTGGTTTTTAAGTATTTTCCAACAAAAGAAGGAAGAAAGTCATAGTTAGCGGCTTCAATGGTCTATATAACAGGTCCACTCTTTGATTTTTGTTGTACAATGCTTTTAAATTTCAAACTCTCCGCAGACACTAACTTCTAAACGAAAATTTTTATTATAGGACACACGTGAATTAATTGGTGATTTCTCCATAAATTGATATAATCTTATTTATTGACACTTATATTATAAAAAAAAAAGAGAGGCTAAATTCATTTAATATATATATTGTTGAAAATTATATGCACATCGGTAGCATATTAAAATCTTACTGCTTATATGAATAATAGATAACTAAATTGTTTATTCTAGAACACATAAACTTACTGAAATTTAATTCAAGAATTATCTCTTGAAGCGTGATCAGATACCTTCAAGCGAATCCACAAGTTAGACAAACCTTCAAGCGATTCCACAAGATAGACAACAACTACGGTCTTCTACAATGATCCCAAGTTCACATCCGAACTCTCTCAATACTTGGGTGGGCAAGTATCGAATAGAATACTGATTCTCTTTCTAGGTTAGAAGACTCCCTACTTATAGAGATTTCTTTCCAGTCCAAAAAGGAGAAGAAAACCCAATTTTCTTGAAAAAAAAACAAGAAACTAACGTTAGTCTTCCTTTTCCCCTTAGAAAATAAGATTCTGAGTTTTAGTTAAATATGAGCATGGTAGGGACCACATAATTAATTACTGAAGCTTCCTATTATGGAAATAATTCCAAATTATTAATTTGAATTATTCTTACCGTAATAAATTACAAATAATTTCACTAGAAATTTATAATTGCACTCCTCTATTTATATTTCGAAATTTCCCATTAAGCACTTGTGTAATTCCTCATGTAAGATTATAGATACTAATCAATAAATTAAATTACTGACAAATAGAGCACTACTTAACTTATTTCATGTGTCGAATTTATAAATCCACTTGCAAGGTTTGAACGATAAAACTTATAAGTTTCTCAAAAAGGCATATATCAATCAATCTCTATAACGATACATGAATTCCATCAACTAACTTATAATTTCACCAATATATATTATTATCATCCAATCTATCAAGTTTTAATAAATCAAAACAATAATTAATATATATACAAATCATAATAGTTATATCAAGATTGAGAATATAAGTACATTTAATAGTTTAGAGATTATGCTTTTGTCAGTCAGTCTAAAACAACTATCTCTACTCGGTCTCGTTCAATATATACAAAATGCATTAGCACAAGAAGTTGGAACTATACCATTACCATAATCAAGATAAATTATATAGGGAGAAAGGACAAATATACCCCAAACTATCGTAAATGATATGCAGATACCCTCCGTCATACTTTTGGGACATTAATGCCTCTTATGTCTAAAAAGTAGAGCATATATGCTCTCCACTCTAATGGAAGACTAAATAGGGACATGTGACGCAATGTTATCCGTCGATAAATATCAGCTCGGTGGATAAGATTATGACACGTGTATGTCCGTTAGTATAAAGGGTATATATGGTCTAGTTTTTGGACGGCAAGGACACCAATGTTCCAAAAGTATGACGGAGGGTATTTGCATTCCATTTACGATAGTTCAGGGGTATATTTATCCTTTTTCCCAATTATATATAATCTTGTGCTACAATCGTATCGATGACATGTCCAATTTCCATCTTAGATTGTGAACAAAATTTTTTATACTTATAAGAACCGATGATTTAATCCTCCGTGTATAAGCTAAAACTCTATACACTAAATCATCTACTATATAAGTAAACAGACACCATAAACAAATATATGATATATTAAAACTAAATAAATATTATATCTAAATACATGCTCAATAATATATATCCCTATATATATATATATATATATATATATAGGTCTACAAATTTTGAGTGCATTTGCTTGTGAGACTAAAAAGTAAATGCTAACTTTTTTTTATTTTTATTAGAGAATCATATTTAGTAAAAAGACTTTTTTTTTTAATTTTAGAGAAAATATTTTTCATTATTCATAACATATATGTAAGGGGTCGTTCGGTGTGAGAGATATAAATAAAAGTGATGGGATAAGAAAATAGTGATGAGATAAAAAATTTATATCTTGTTTGGTTGCCATGTTTGGGATAACTTATCCCACTATTTATATCATAGTGATTGAATAAGTTATCCCATACACAGGGTGAAATAAATTATCTCAAGATAGCTAACCCTAGAATAACTAATCATGTGATAACTTGTTCCCAATCAAACGATCCCTAAGTCTAGATTTCAGACGTGATAGTACTTTTAGCAATTGTCTCTATGATTTCACTACATGCATGGTCCAATTACAGTAATATCCTTTTTGTTGTCCCTGTTGGAGACACATTTCGGAAGAATTAGAAAAAAAGGTTTTATATTAAATTTAAATATTAAGAAATTAGATGAAAAATATTATAATTTATATATTAATTTGATGAACAAAATATTTTAAAATATTAGTTAAAGTCTATGTAATTTGACTCTAAAAAAGGGAAACATGACAAATAAAAATGAACAAAAAATATATTTAACATCAGAAATATAAGAAAGACCATAACCATATAATTACAACAACAACAGCATACTGTAGAAAAATCACAAGTGAGGTTTGCGAAAGATAGAATGTATGCCAATCTTTCTACCACCTTGTGAAGGTAAAAAGACTGTTTTCAAAAGACAATCGGCTCAAGTACAATCAATCTAGATACAAAAAAAAGGAGATGATGAAGGAAATATAAAATACTCCCTTCGTCCCATTTTATATGAGGTAGTTTGACTCGGTACAGAGTTTAAGAAAGAAAGGAAGATTTTTAAAACTTGTGGTTCAAAATGAATGATATAAATTTGTGTGGCTGTAAATCATTTCATTAAGGGTAAAATAGATATTTTATAGTTAAATTGTTACTTAATACAGAAATGTGTCATTCTTTTTGGAACTGACTAAAATGAAAAGTAAGTTACATAAATTGGGACAGAGGAAATAGCAAGTAACAAGGCACATCCAATCAGAAAGGATATCCAAAAAAATAATAACAAGATAATGTGATGATCAAAGCACAAGAGACAACACACTAGGATAGATTGATGAAAATAATAACAAAGAATGTTAAGAATAAAAAACAAGAACTACAATAATCCAACTAATAACATGGCAAATAATAGCCACCCTAATCAAGGCAACATTACACTACCTACTAATCTTCTACTGGCTCTAATATGTGTCCTCCACACCCTTTAATGTCTACGGTAACCTAAAGCCGCACCATATCCTGTCTTATCACATGTCCCCAATATTTCTTCCGTCTACCTCTGCCTCTCCTCGTACCATGTATAACCAACCCCTTGCGCCTCTGCGCGGGTGAGTCTACACATCTCCTCTTCACATGTTCAAATCATCTTAGTCTTGCTTTCCTCATATTGTACACCACATAGATCACTCTGACCTAATATTCAAGATATCCTCATTTATAATCTTATCAATCCTAGTATGACCATACATCCATGTCAACATTTCATCTCCACAGCATGCATCTTCTGCACATGAAAACTTTTAGTTATTTATATTAGGGAAAAAAGAAAAATATACCTCTAAACTATCATAAATGGTATGCAAATACCCTCCGTCATATTTTTGAGATATTGATACTCCTGCCATCTAAAAACTAGAGCATATATATACCCTTTAGTAAAAATAATTTTTTACTCGTGATTTACATAGAAAATGTACGTTTGGCGTGTTGTAGTGACGGTACAATTTTATAATTGATTTGTCATTTTCCCTTGTTTTTTCGTTTCTTTGGTTTGGTATTAGCATTCCGTGTAATTTCAGTTGCACCACAAGTTTTTATGATTCGTCCATTTGATACGAAATTATCAGGTACGTAGAAAGGTGCTGCTCATTCTAGCCAAAGAAAACGAAAGAAATAATAATTACTTACTCGATTCATTTTTATTTGTCACTTTTAGGACATTAAAAAAATATTAGCGATATTTTTATTTAATATTAATTATTTATTCATCAAATTACTTGTTAAAATTTAAAATTATATATTAATTAATATAAATATTATAATAAAATATTTTTATCAACAATTATTTTTTAACAAACGTACCAAAATTTTAATTAAAGAAGTAAAAATAAAAGGGAGAGTATTTATTTATAAATATCTCGGATAATGTCCACACTAATTCTTTTGTGTTTTTTTCCGTGTAATTTCACTTGCACCACAAGTTTTATATGATTGGTCCCATACTCCCATTTGGTAAGAAATGTTACTCTCTTTTCGCCGTAAAATAGTTTACATTTTATTTTTAAAAATACATGATGTTTTAGAATTTCAAAAGGAAATTGATTTTACTCATTTAAAATAATCCTTCTTTACGTATTTAAAAATCATTAATTAGTTTTTCTTTGATTAGGAGTGTTCGGAAAAAAAATATTTTCGTAAGTTTCATGTGCCGTTTGACCATAAATATTCTCAAATATATTTGAGAATTTTTTTAGAAAATAGTATTTGATCATATAACTCAAGTTCTCAAATACTAGAAAAAATAGTTTTTAAAAATATAAAAATTACCCTAAAATTATATTTTTCTTACAAAAGCACCCATCATTTATAGTTTTGGACTAAATTTCAGTCCTAATTTGTTTGTATAAAATTAATACAATTATATGTATATTTATACAATTTTTATTCGAGTGTATTCTCTAAAGCCACTTTCAGTTACAAGTAGTAATAATAGTTTTTCGTATACAAATCAATGGCATTTTCCCTTTGTTTTCTTTCCCTTTTTTCAGATTCATATTAATTGTGTTCGTTGTCATATCTTTTTATGAAACATATTTATTATAAAAAGTCGAAATCTATGACCAAATGTGTTATAAAACTTCATCCAAATATAATTTGACAAAAATATTTGAAAATTTATAATCAAACACTGGCTAAAAAATAACACTAATTTTGGAATAGAGAGACGTAAAAAAGATGATGTGCATTGAAGGTAGCATTAAAAAAATGAAAGGAAATGTTGGACGAAGGATAATGGAATTTTCTTTAAGAAAAAAATAAACGCCTTTTTTAAGAAGGCCCCATTTTTCAACGTGTTTCGTGTTCTTCTCCCTTTCTATAAATAGGACTCAATCATAAAATTGAAGAACTTAGCTATAGTTTCTTCACTTAGTAAATTTGGAAAGAAAAAAAAACTCTTTTTTTTTTTGGAGTTAATTAATTTAGAGATGGTGAGAACACCTTGCCGCGACGAAAATGGTCGTAAAAAGGGTACTTGGACACCTGAAGAAGATAGAAAATTAGCTGATTATATTACTAAATATGGATCATGGAACTGGCGACAACTTCCCAAGTATGCCGGTAAGAATTTAGTAATGTTTTCGTACGAAAAATATTAGGAAATAATCGACTGAGTTGGTTTGGTTTGGTGGAAAATTATATATGTTGTATATCATAAATGAAAACTTTTATTTCAGGTAGTATTAACAACTAATAAATTTATTGTTATTTGTGATGAAGGTCTAGAAAGGTGTGGAAAGAGTTGTAGACTTCGATGGATGAATTACTTAAAACCAAATGTTAAAAGAGGAAATTATACCAAAGAAGAAGATGAAATCATATTGAACCTCCATGCTCAACTTGGAAATAAGTACGTTTTCTTCTTCCACATCTCCAATTGTACGAGTCAATGCTAGTAGAGCTGAGGCGAATTCAGGATTTAAATTTAATGAGTTTAGCTTTTAAAAATTTCAACATTGAATTCATTGTGTTAGATCTAATAATTGTAAAGGCCTCCTCCTCATTAATTTTTTAGAAAAACACATTAACAGAAATTCAGTTACTTTAATATGATAAAAAGAAATTTTAATTGTCATTTTACCAAATATATATAGTTTCATTACTAATTCTGTGAAACTGTAATATGGTTATTAGGTGGTCGGCGATTTCTGTTCACTTGCCAGGAAGATCAGACAATGAGATAAAGAATCATTGGCACACCGCATTGAAGAAGCGTGCTAATTATGCTACAAACTCAAGTAACGACGTCTCAAGCAACAATAATAATAGAAGAAAGAGCAGTAATGTGGAAAATCAAAATGCAAGTGCTAATAATAATAATAATAATAATAATAATAATAGTATGCATGAAAATATAGTATTGGAAAGTTCAGAATGGTCACCAAAGGAGTCATCAAGTGAAGAATTATCCTCTATTGATTATCAACAAGACATTTTTCATGAAGAATTTGGTAATTTGGAGGAAATTACAAGTGGAAGTTTTTGGACAGAACCATTTGAAGTGGATAGTAAAAATGATTTTGTAGCTCCTTCAATTGATTATTGTGGACTTGTCTGTCCACCTTCTCCTTTTATACCTCATGAATTTCTTTCCTCCTTTGATCTAGATCATTATGATTATAATTGGTAAACAAAAAATAGAAGAGAAAAAAACTCCCAATGAAGTTGATTTATCTCATATCATCATCACTCTCTTACTTGGAGATGATGGATGAAATAGAATGTAATGTGATTTAATATGTTTAATATATTACATTCTGGTAAATTATTCAATTGTATTTCCCGTACACTACATCAAAAATAATCTTTAACGACAATAGTTTAATTATTTTATGAGGTTTTCTCATTTTCCCAATGAGAACAGAAGTACTGTTTTTATTTGGCTGTCTATTTGTCTTACAGCATGTTTCACCAAAATTTTGACAAGTAGCAAAAAAACAAAAAAAGAAAGTTTTTTTTTTCTTTTTCAAAAAAAGAAAGTAATCTTGAATAGTAACACAATATTTTTTTTCATAAACTTAAAAAAATAGTTTTTCTATGTAAGTATTTAATTTATGAAATCTTGACGAAACACAAATTACCTCTAATATTAACACGGATTCCGATTTCTATAATCGAATTATATATAAACATAATTTTAACTTTTATTTTGTGCCAATTCTTTCATTATTTGTGTTAGATAAAGCCATTACTTAACAGCCTTCAATCATTAATTTGTCTAAATAACAATAAATTTAACAAATTTATTTACATTGATTTAATTTTTCATGTATATCTATGCTCAATTATATATGATTGAAACACATATTAAAAAATTATTTAACTTATAGATAGGTGTCTCTCACATGTTATTTAAGGAAGAAGTTACAAGACAAGTAGTTAATAGAATTACTTGTAAGGACACACGCATAAAATTTATAAACAAAATACTCCCTATATCCCTAATTACTTGTTCAATTTTGAATTGACACACTTATTAAGAAAATAATGATTGGCATAGTGAGTTTACAATTTTACCCATATTAATTATGAAGTGGATGAATTAAAAACTTACGATTTTCAAGAAGTTCTACGTATTTCAACGTAATTAATTGGGGATATAATAGGTAAAAAAAATTGTCCTTTCTTGATTTGTCAAAATGGACAAGTAATTAAGGACAACTTAAAAAAATAAATATGAGCAAGTAATTAGGGACAAATGGGAGTATAAATATATTGATGTTACGTGAACTCTTAAAGAATCTACTGCAACCTGATTTTGCATAAAATTTAGTACAGTATATGTATACGAATAAATAATAACTCAGGTTGAGTTTAGTTATTTTATTATAATATTTTATTAACGGTTTGAATTGTTATATTAAAAATAATATGCATTAGATAATTTATAAGAAAAGTTGTCTGTTTATAAAAATAACTTTTATCTAATTTATTACAAAGGAGCTTGATAAACATCATATGTATTTATATCATTTTTATTATATTATTTTAAAATAACTATTCATGGTACTATTAATTTTTAATTCTCATATAACTTTTCTCAAAATTAGTAACCAAACAGAAAAAAGGACAATATTAAGTGTTTATCTCAAAATTATCTATACTTATCTAGATACCAAATAACCTGTTAATACAATTTACTAACTAACAACAGTGTAGGGACTAGGGCGAAGTCAATATTCGAGTTTTTTTGGCAGAATTTATTCATTTTTGCTCATACTTTATATTTGTATGTAAAAAATAGTATAAAATGTACATATAAATAGGTAACTTTTTTTTGTTTTGGTTTTCCACTTAGTGTCTATAGTTCACAATGTAGTCCCGATTAATTTTAGATTACGCAACGTAGGATCTATTCGGGAGTTGTGCCACTCAGTAAAAAAAATTCATACTTAAAACTTAAACTTGAAATATTTGATCAAGGATGAAGCAGTCACACCACTACAGTGCAACCGTCAAACGTTGTAAGCAGATACAGAGTGTCAAACGTCACACTTGTGTGACATATGCAGATTTTCATTTATGATAGCACCGGCCATTGAAGCTTCCTTCTATGAAGACAAAATGTGAACATTAAAATTGGTATTCTCATATTAAACATTGAACAGTGAAAAAACATTTTCTATTATATTGTTGTGTTTGCCATTGACTTAAATCACCCCCATACAAGTTGGCTGTTACCTAATACCTGGTATCTTCCTAGTCCAACTAATTCTCTGTGGATATTGGTGCCTTGGCGGAAATATACATTTTACAAATTAAATTAAAAATAATAATTTAATATTATTTCGTTGTTTCAATTTGTTTTTTTTTTTTGACATGGTACAGTTTTTTTTTTTAGAAAAAACTTTTAAATTTTATAGTCTTAAATTAAAGATACGTATAATGTACCAAAGTGTCTTTTAATCTTATGTTCATTAACATATGATAGGAAAAAGTTAGAATTAAAGAATTTTAAAAGTTAAAAAGTTAAAAAGTTAAAAAGTTAAAAAGCTAAAAGACGTTTTTCTTGAACCAGACTAGAAAGGAATGTAAAACAGATAAATTGAAATTAAAGGAGTAATTTATTATTTTATTTTAATTTCGTACGTAGAAAATTAAAATTTAGTAGCAATTTGATTTTTAAAAAATGTATAAGGAGCCATAAAACCAGTGGACATTTTCCTTCCAACAAATGATAGAAATTTGAAGTCATTTGCCGGAGAGATCAGATTTTTAAAATAAATACTTAATTACTATTTTCAATGATAAGCAGTGTTAGAAAAATGGAAAACTTAAATAAATCCCACTAGTTTAGAAGTTGATTACTTAGATATACTTTAGTTTACAATGTTATGAATTTTCACCTCATTTTGGTGCTTCCAGATACATGTATCTCGGAATACATGAGGTCAAAATTATGTGTGATTTGTTATAGATACACTATATTCAAGTAATTTGTATATATTTGGTATACATAATAAATCCTGCTCGTTCATCACTCTGATATGTATCTAGTAACACATATACATGTGAATCACACTAGATACATACAAATTCATATATCTATTGTGTATCTAGTGAGATTCACATGTATATGAAATACATGACTATCTTGCTCGCCTCTCTCCCCATCTCGCTCACTTCTCTCCCTATTTTAGTGTATCTGATAGCAAAAATACATATATCTAGGTGTATCTTCTTCTATATGGTAGAAATAAATCAATTTTGATTGTGTAATTATTGTCTTAAACGGAAAATATAGAAAATCATGAAAATTAAAACTTGAGGCGTATCTATAACACTGTACTTAAGAATATTTCATCCGCTATAAATATATTTTTCTTCAGGATTCAGTAAACACATAGGGGTCGTTTGGTAGAAAAATAAATAACGCAGGAATTAGTAACACAGAGATTAGTAATGCAGGGATTAAATAGTGTTGGGTTTAGTAATGCAGGGTATATTTTATATCAAGTATTTGGTTCATTGTTTCCCAACTTATCTTGTGTTTGGATTAAACTCTACAAAAAGCTTTTTTCCAATTATACCCTTGAATTATTATGAGATTTTCTATTTTATGTAATCGGGACAAGGTAGATAATTGTCGGACAATATTATTTTTATATGGCTTTCTAACTAGCTAGGAGAAGAACAATTTTCTTGTCATGTTTGCTATTTTCTCACTTGAACTATTTGAGGGTAAATAATTGTCCTCTTAATAAATTAATCACTTAAAAACGTTCATATTCAATTTAGAATAGATAGACCATCTACTTTAAAATCGAAAAGCCGGTAAACAATAGTAAAATCAAATAAATCATCTACTTTTATACATAAAAATTGCATGTTATAGTTTTAATATATATGCAATTTATAAATTGTTCAAAATACAAATAATTAGAAACCACATATAAATCAACAAATAATATATTCAATTAAGATCACAAACGTCATGTGATGATATATTCACCTTTTCAATTAGTAAATGTTAAACTACTCACATTTTAAATATTATATTGATATGTATTACATTTATTTATCAACAAACAACTCTCTCTAAATAATAAAATTTGTAAGCTAATTTATTTAAATAAATTTACTAGTACAAATATAAAATATAAAATATAAAATCAAGAAAAATAATAAAATGATTTTAGGGATATTATTGTCTTTACATATATAATCTCATGGTATTAAATCCAATGTATTACTAATACCACCAAATGAAAGGTATTAGTAATACATCCTATTAATACCATGAATTAGTTATACTTAGGCCCAAAAATTCTACCAAACATAGTACTTATTAATACCATACATAATACATGGACTATTTCTCCTAATTCTTCCTACTAAACGACCCTTATAGTAAAGAACTAAAACACAAAAATTAACAATTTTTTTAATTAATTGAATACTAGCTAGCAAAATAAAATGAAGAAGAGGAGGATATTTGTTCTCTAGTATTTTCCTCAGTGTTTTTCCACACTTATATGATTAGCACTTGACAAGTTTTTTTTTACATATATAGAAAAGTGGAGATAATATCACATGTTGTCTAAACTCTAAACCAAGAAGTTAAAACAAGTAGTAAAAAGTCATAAAGACTATTGAAAGACAATTTGCTAATTAAGGAAAATTTTAACCTAGGCCTCTTTTGACCAAAATGATAGAACATGATTGCTACCTTATTTAAGGCTAATAAATTTGTAAGTTTTTTTTTAACCAATATTAATTAGAAAAATTCTATTTTTTTTAAAGATATTAATTAAATAAAATTAAAGTCTTTCACTACATCGCTGTATAAATTGCGACGGAATTCCTTACTAAATATGCTTTTTCCAAGAAAAATATTACTCACCACATGATCATTTTACATGAATCTATCTTAGTACTTAATATAGTATTTATACGAGTCCGAAACTTAAATAAGCCACAACAAGATAAAAGTGATCAAAATAAGTCACTATTCTAGTAAGTAATCAAAATTGGCTTAGTGGAAGAAAAAATTTCGTTTTATGTAATATTTCAAATATTTTCCGTTAGTCTCATAACGTGTATATTTTAATATTTAACGAAACTATATTTTACACTTTGTAAAACGGAACTATTTCTTACACTTTGTAAAGTGGAAGAAAAAAATTCTGT